CCCCAAAACCCCAAAACCCCAAAACCCCAAAACCCCAAATCTATATTAATTTAAAAATAATTTAAAACTTTCTTAAGTAAATATAGACTTAATGGTGTAGGTAATGAATACAAAGAAGTTCTCAGCAACTCAAATTAATTGACTCAAGAATCCAGCCCTTGCTAAAACAGAGGCTAAATTACTGAGTTTCACCAACGCGCCAATGTATTTTAATACCAAGAAGTCTAAGTCACGGAAAAGAGACCTAGGTTCTAAGACCATGAATGGTACCAGGAAGGGCAAAAATCTATCAAATTCTGATAAAAAGAGACAAAGCAAGGTTGGAAAAAGTTTCCTGGCTTCCTTCTTGTCAGACACCACACTTTGAGACAATTTCTCACCTAAATAAGCGTAAGAGATTAATGTGGATTTTTGTATAAAATTTAGTGCAAAATAATGTAGGGAAACAACAGAGTGGGAAATAATGGCCAGGTTCTCTCGATCGGGAGTGATACTAGGGTCTACACCCCTGACCAGCTCCAACAGATCTATGATGAAAGTATAATTAAGTATAAGTCATCCGGCCCAAATGGAAATTTGGCCAATAAACATGGGAAAAAGAGCAAAAGAGGAGTTAAGACTTCATATGGGAATTACACCCAGCTGCGGCCTCAATCTTCCTTCATTCCTAACAATAAAATCAAGCTGAGCAAGGGTCGCAAGAGTGTGACAGGGAGTAACAAGCAGAGCTTTTACATGAGCCCGAAGGCAATAGATAGTTTCAAGTATATTTTTATTGTTAAGCTTTAGCATTGGTACTAAGAAGAGTAGTAACAAACACTCTCATAAGCTAAAAATCCCTTCTACAAAGAACAAGGCTTATGAGCGACTAGTTAAGAACATGTCGATGTTCTCGCTTGAGTCTCCCAACGCTGCAGCTCAAGGAAGAACTATTGGCAACAAGAAGCATTCTTCGAAGAAATTTGACGGTCAGAAGAAGAAAAAGAAGGGTGGAAATATCAGGTAGGTTTGAAAGGTGTTAACTCATTAGTGGGTCAAGGAATAAGTACCGTACAAATCCATTCACAACTAAGAACAGAATACAGTCTTCCTCATCAGTGCTGGATAATCACATTATCATCACTCCTACTTCTTCAACAAAAGGAAGAGAGATTATAGTGCCAAGGATCGGAAGTCGCAAGGAGAAGGGAACTAATCTAACGAAGCTAGATATCTCTCAAGAAGATTCTAGGATAAAGACAAAGATACAATCAGCCCTAGGATCTCCTCTCTGAAATTTTAAGAGTTATGACAGGTTCATGAAGAAGAAAACTGATTATTTTACCAAACCAGATGAGAGCTTCTCAGAGGATGTTAGGACCCAGATGAACTCAGGCAAGCTTGATAGCTCTATGGCACATACGTTCATGGCTGAGTGAGAGACTCTTGAAGAAGCTATGCATAAAATGTTAGAAGATATAGACAAAGATCAACATCAGAGCATACAAGCCAAGCAGCATAAATAAGCTTGAGGTGGTCCGCCATCTCTGTGCTGAGATGGCTCAGAAAAGAACTCACGGAGCTATTTCAAAGCTCTTTGGATACTTCTCTGATATCTACGAAGCTCATATTTCTACCCTCTCACTTTCAAAAATCGAAGCTTTGCAAGCGGAGAACAAGGAGCTTCAGAGACTTCTTGAGAATGAGAGACAGGAGAAAATAAAAATTACAAAGGATTTCAAGTCTCAGATCGAAGTGCTCAACAAGAAGAATTCAAGTGATATTCAAAGGCTTCAGAACCAGATTGAAGAGCTGAGGGAAGCTGCTAAGAAGCCACAGAAGCAGAAGAAATCCAAACACAATGAAAGTGAGGAAAGCGACATTTTCGAAGGGCTTAATACTGACAAAAGGGACAGAATCATGGCTGAAGTAGCTGAACTATACGAAGCAAATGTTGAACTCCAGATGGAAAATAAAATACTTAAGAAAACTCAAAAGAAGCTCAAGACTGGAATACAGTTTATAGACACTAAGGAGGTCCTCATAGACTCGATGGATATGGAGTCTGAGGAAGAAGAAGGGCCTTTCGTTAAGAACGGAAGCTATACTGATAACGAAGACCTCGGCAAGTCTCATAATCAAGACACTATTGGATCCATCCACAACATTTTTGTAGATCCTACTTCAGAAAGTTTTATTGAAGAGAGGAAAAAGGAGCTAGCTTTCAAGAGGCCTAGTATTGTTCCAGAGCTAGATTTCAATCAAATCATCCGCCCAGATTTGGTCCAAGCTATAAAGTTAAAAGCGTTTGGAGTTAATAACAAAGCCTCAAAGCCTAGCCAGCCTCTGAAAGGTGGGCATTCTCTAAGTAATCGGGTTCATGAAGAACAGATCTCATTTAATCTTGAAGGGAACGAAGATGACTCAGCCTCAGAAACGTGTGAAAAGATGTCAGATTCCATTGAAATGAAGAATTCTAAATTCAAATCGTCAAAGAGTCACACTCATTCGCATATAATGGCGAAGGATTTAAATAACATAACTCCGAATTTGAATGAGGATTCTCAGAACTTTGGAAGTAATATTTGTAAACTCCAAAACAGTTGCTTTGCTTCTTCTAGCGAAGCTACCAAGAAGTAAGTGCATTTACCTTGAATTACTAACTGTACATAGAAAGGAGAGTGGGGTATCTAAGCCATTTTCCCCATTTCAAAACTCTGAGTCAACTGTGAAGCTCTTTAAGTAATTTATGGCCTGAACTTGTAGGAAGCCTTCTGACTCAAACTTGTTTTACAAAACCAGCAAGTCGAAGGTACTTTAATGGGATTAAGTGTAGGATCGCTCGAAAGTTCCCCAACTGAACCTTGAGAATATAGAACATCCCAATTTTCATCAAGAGTTTATGGACACTTGGCAGGAATTTTAATTCAATTTGTGATCAAATTCAAGGGGTTTTGGGGTTTTGGGGTTTTGGGGTTTTGGGG